ATATATATATATATACATATATATATATATATATATATATATATGTATATGTATATATATAATGATATATATTATATGTTTATTTTATTAATCATGTCCTTTGCATAATTCATAGAATACAAATTTGATCGAAAATGAGACGATAGATAATAAAGATGTACTTGATAAAGTTATTGAAAAGTTCACGGAGTCCTCTCGAAAACGCAAATCTCCTTCTCCATTGCCGACGGCACCACCAAATAAAGTTCTAGTAATATCTGAGCCATCGAACCATATTTTGCGAACTTCTGAAAATAAGCAATCACAAGTTCTACAAGTAACCAAACATCAAAATTTTGCGTTAATTAAGGTTAACGAGACCTCAGGTTGGTTTCTTTTACTTCTTTCTACTTTCATGTAGAGTCGTAGAAAGCAACGATAATATTACTTCTGTATATATTAGATAGGAAACGAATTACTTAACATAGAATGATATTGATTGTTGGTTTGTTCAACGTTTCGCGCACGAGTTAAACGTTTCTATTTTCATTCTCAGCGAGAGAGAGAGGAGGGAGACGGAGAGGGAGGGAGAGAGGGAGAGAGAGAGAGAAGGAACAAAAAGAATACAATCTGCTTAGTAACTAGTTGTTCTAGTCTATTCTTTTTGGTTTTCTTACTGTCTCACTCAACAAGATGATGGAGAAGTGGAAGCGTTTAGCTCGTGAGCAAAATTGGATTGGCTTGTTACAAAACTATAATATGAATACCTGAGAATAAGCTGAGAAATTCATGTAAAAGAAAATATCTACATGGTGTTTAAAAATGATTGCTTTTTCTAAATTATAAATTATATGATAAAATAGAAGATGTGTTTTCTTTTTTTTGGACAACAAATTTTTCATATATTCTAATACTTAAATCTTATCAATAGTGCCGAAGGATTTGCGGGTTATCTGTGTTGTGATACATTGTTAAAATGCCAATGTTGAACCTTGCCGTTTGCTTTATCAGGGTGAAGAACGCACTGACTAGTATTAATATCAGTATCAGATAATCCGTAAACCCCTTGATCTCTGAAGAAAATATCCGTGAAAGCTTCAAAAGTATTATAAATCTTATAAATATATTTTTTGTATGTTAATTAATTTTCAATTATTTTTCGTATTAAATTCAGATTCTGTGGAGAGCACAACACTATCAGAACATCCGAGTGAGTGCACCACAGTTTCATTAAACAAACATGTAGTTGTTACAACAACTTCCGTATGCACAAATTACGCCAACAATCTTAAAATGGCAGTAAGCACTGACCAGAATAAAATTAATACCAAAGTAGTGCCAGCAATATCAAGCTGTATATTGAACATAAACAAAGTGCATTCAAGTAAAGACACACAATCTCAAGATAGCACAAGTATGTATCTGCATCTAATTTACAGTGGGTTTAATTTCATAATATACATTCGATTTCTATGCATTGTAACCATCAAAGTTGCTTTTGTTGCAGATGGTACACAAAAAACTCAACCTGATAATATTAACTCTATGTTATCTGATAATATTAGTTTAAATCCATCAACTACAAAAAGCTCTATGACGCTTTGTGACCCAATAATACAAAATTATACTAGAATGACAAGTAAGATGTTAAGTATAGATATTTATTCGTAGTTGATAAGAATGTTTAAAAAATATTGTATGAAACATCTTACAATTATTTTTATAATTGAGGTATGTAAAAAATATAGACAATCTAAATTCTAAATAAATCTTTAGGCGCTCGACTTACACAATCAATGCCTGTTTATCCTGGAACTACAGTATCGAGCGGTCCTGGGCCACCTCAAGTTAAACAAGTTCCCATAACATTAATGTGTACGAAACTGCCATCGGAACAAATTGTAACCTTTGATCAATCCACTGCCAAAACGGTAAATCTAAATATGAGAGAGAGAGAGAGAGAGAGAGAGAGAGAGAGAGAGAGAGAGAGAATCAGTTCTGTTTAATTTTATGTTAAAATTGCTGCAACAGAAGTATAATGTAGAAACATACATTTTATCAAGAGTATATTATTATATTGCTATAAAATATATGTATATTATTTATTTTAGGGTATTTTTCCCAAGAAAGTTATAAATATGCCTCATTATAACACTAAATTAAATAAAGCTAATGTGATCGTTATCCAGAAGGCAAAATCCGTAACACTATCACATGCAGGCAAGGTATTCTAATAAGTATCAAGAATACAAAGATAAATCAAAGAACAAAAGTAAAAGTTGAATAGATTTCGTTATATTAATTGCTTTACTGACCATTTTAGGAAGTGCTAGGGAAAGTAATAATGGAAGGAAAGAATCTGTGCGTTACGAGCCAACATAATACAAACTCGATCAACGTTCAATCTCATCATATTTCTCTGAATAATGGAGATCAAACGAAGACTATGCTGCCAACTGTAAACTCGCCACAGAATGCAGAATCTGTTAAAACGAACATAAAGGTAATTTATTCTCGCTATTGTCCCGTTTAGTCTTATCTCTATACGCACCTATAATTATATTTTGCAGTCTGGAAAAACGGTTGTGTCAGTCACGCGTTTTCGGCATGACGTTCAGGAAAACAAAGTTCTCTCGCAGTTTTTCGATTCACCTGCCATTTGTAATGTTGAGGCCAAGACTTTGATACAGGATATAAATGTGTGCTTGCCAAAGGAAGAGTGCAATAACGATAAAAATATGATTGATCGAGAGTCATCTCTAAAAACAGATTCCATGATTACTTCCATATCAGAAGAAACACAGCACAGATCAGATCAGAGTAACAGTAATAATATCGAGCATAGGTATTTTTATTATTTGTATAACAAATTCTTGATATCAAATCTTAAGAATTTAATAAACGTTTTGATAAATTAATGCTTTTTTCTCTTGTAGGAAAAATAACGATGTTAAAGCGAATATAAATTCTCAGGACACGAATCTGCTAGAATCTTCAAAATTGTTGGGAAACAAAGAAATACTGGTCAGGCCAAAGCAAATACATGGTATGTTGCATAAGTATAAAAGAATATATATATATATATATTATATATATATATATATATAAATTATATTTAGTTTTAATCAGAGATGAGATGCGTCATTAAAATCAAAATAATGAAAAGTGAAAAGTCTATATTCAATTATAGATGATGTTGAAGATGATGTTCGAATAGAAAAATCTGACGAAAATATCGATACATTTAATGCGACGTTAGAATCGACAAATAAAAATTTGCAGAGCTTCCAGTATCTAGTGGATAACGACGAGAATAGCGATTTAGAAAAGTCGTCGAGATCAGTGGTGACCGTAAACCAGATGAATGAGCATGACGATTCGTAACAACTAAAGATCTCGCGTTATGCGTGTCGTAATTATAATTACACGACGGCAAGGCTGATACTTTCGTTTTGAAAGCGTACTGACGTATTTATCATGTATAAGTATATATGCGTATATGTTTCTATTTATATGTACACACACACACACACACACACACACACACACACACACACACACACACACACACACACACACACAAAACGTGCGCGCGCGTACGTCTATTTTAACGAGGTATATATGCATATGCTATGTTCATTTGTTGCTCCTCGAAAGATTTTGACGATCTCGAAAGGATTGAAAATGATCTTTTCATTTGCGATTATTACGTGTACAAAATGAATAAGATAATTAGATCATTTGTTAAGATTCCGACATATTGTTTTGAACATATTGATTGATATTAGTACTGTATATAAGTGCCAAATTATATAATCTGCCATTAATTTATACTTTTGTAAAGAACCATGCGCGTTTGTTCATTTATCTATCATAATCCCAGTTTGCAATGTAAATTGTTTCTTCATCAGCTTTTAGAATTTATCTACTATTTAACAAATTTGACTGTTCAGTTTTAAAAATTATCAAATTATTGAATTTTATTGTGTTATATAGCGAAAGGAGAGATAACTGGATGTGTCAAATTATATACACACTGGAAAATCATTTTATACTTTTGTTTGTAAATATGTAAGACATTTTTGTAAATGTGATATTATGATGTTAAGTATTAGAAGTTTGGTTTTGTGAATCTGTCACTTGCTCATACTACTATCGCAGCAGCATTGTAAATATTTTGTAAATGTACTGACTATCTCGGACTATTCTGAGAAAAGACGTTGGGTGGATATATAACATACTTTCTTCCACCCTATCACCATTAATAAATTGCGAATGTTAATAAAAGTTTAATGATAGTACTAGTTATTAATAGCGAAAGAGGGAAGTATCGTTTTTTGCTATTTTTTAATAAAACTTGCTCATATAGAGCAACAATTTGCTCTTACTAAGAGAGTGTAACAGGAAAAGGCTATATTTTTTGTAAATGAGAAATAACACTGCCCTTCGAGTTGCAATATCGATGTACTCTGTTACTTAGAGTACTTAGACTTTACTGTATTTTATGCAGTATTTTCGCCAAGTTGCAAAATACTTTCGCCTACATTCTTATTGTACGAATTTGTAAGCAGCTAATCTTTATCGATATGTAAATTGAGATAATTACATTTCTCAAGTATACTCTGCATGTACTGATTGTGAGTGTCTCAGATTTTTCGTATCAAAAGATGGTATCAGAAACTTCGCGCCAAATCTAGAAATGTAGCAATCGGAAAAAACGTTACAACGCATTCTTTATCAGAATGACTTAAAGAGAAATTAAAGCGAATAATTTAATTCTTTGCCTTATATTGAGTGAGATTCGTAGTATAAATTACATAAACATAAGAAAAAAACACGAGTAGAATTCGTGATAAAAACTGTTGTGAGCCAAGCAAACTGTTTACAAAATAAATTCATATCTACAAGCAATGAAAAGACCTTTTTTATTATATTGTTTTCTATTATAAATTTTATTTCTGTTTTATATTATAAAATTTATATAAAATATATATGTATAAGAAAGTAAGTAATTTTATATTGTTATTGAATATTTGATGTTTTCTTTATAAAATAATATTTGAAAGTTTTTTACACAGTATTATTGGCTTCTAGATCATCGGTAAAGGGAGATTGAACGTATTGGCAGATACTTATTGTTTTAGCGCGCGATCAACTTTATCGCTAATAATGTGAAACGCGTGATCACAAATTAAATCGTAAGGCAAAGGATTAATTAGTATTTAAAAAATTATTTTTCATCAATTATCAGTTAACTTAGATGAATCTTATTTTATAATAATTTCGATGTAAAGCTTTGATATCGAGTATTGTATGTAAAAGATTATTTTAAAAAACGCGCACATACAGTATCCACTCAATGGCAATACTCTCATTTAGAAATAAAATTTATAAATGAAAATTGATGCAATAAATCAGAGATACTTTGTTTTGTATATATGATAATACTAGTGTAAACTATGTACATATACAATAATTTACAGTTAATTGCAAAAAAATAAAAATATTTAAACGTGAATAAACTGATTATATGTTATATTTTTTAACATTTAATAATCTTATATATATATATATATATATATATATGTGTGTATGTGTGTGTGTGTGTATTTATCATTATACTAGAAAGAGCTTTATATTAGGCTGAAGATATACTATAACATTATGCTGTTAGAAAGATTTACTTCAGAGACATAGAGAATCCATTGTTTAAAATCATAAATTTATTTTTATCAATTAATTTAACTAAAAGAGAGATCACACGAGTTTCCAAATATAGATAATGAATATTACCTGAGCAAACTTTATTATTTATTATGAATTAATCTTTATTTTTATGAAACTGTTACACGTTCACACAAGAATTTTTTTTTTATCCTTAATTACATTGTTACGCTCGTGTCGGATTGGCTTGAGCAAGTCCGTTCGAGTATAACAATATTATTATGAAATATCTTTTAATAATCCAGCAACTAATATGGGCGAGGTGGGCCGCCGCGCATCAAACCTGGAGGGGGACCTCTCATGCCAGGTGGTCCCATCGGTGGACCACCACGTCCTATAGGTGGCATTCCGGGTGGCATACCTGTAAGATCGCAAAAAGTATATACACACATACACACACACACGCGCGCGCGCGTTTTATAACTATTTTCTAAATTATATAATTGGTGATAATTTTTTAAATTAACACACATAAAATACTACTAATATATTGGACCATTTTTATAAATCTCATTGATGAAGAACTCAAAAAAAAAAAAAAAGATAAATTTATATCAGATATATATTGCATAATAGTTGTATTTAATAAAAAAATAAAAAAAATCATAAAATTTTTTAAAAATATATTATAAAATATGTGTTAATAAATATCGAATAAAAAAATAAAAACATCATGTATGCTAAATATTAGAATATAAATTTAGCAAAGGAAGAAACAATCGCGCTTAAGTTATTCTTAGATTATAAAAAAAAAAGAGAAAGGAAAAATGACGATATATCAAGAGTTGTGGAGTTTTTTAAGAGTAAAAAAAATCTTACCCATCATTCCAGCTGGTGGTCCCATCATGCCTGGTGGCGGTCCACCGACTGGCATACGTGGTGGACCACCAGGATGTATTTGAGGTGGTGCCGAGACCTGACCCCTACTGCCAGGTGTCATGATTTGTTGGGATGGACCTCCGACACCCCTGACTGGTCCCTGAAGTCCTGCTGGTACACCTGCAACGTTCGCAGGCATACCTCTGCCAGCAGCACGAGCCATACCTGGTCCTGGTGCAGCTCCTGGGATCGGTACTCTAGGTAATCCTTCCTCGGGAGGCGGTGGACCCTCTACTGTCAAGGAAACAATATTCTCACCACGTAGAAGCACAAAACCCAGTACACGTTTTTCTTCTCTCTCCGGTTGCTTCGTATTTTTTGGCTTGATCTTACGAAACTCCTCACAATCACCAAGTATCAGATTCATATGTTTATCAAAAGCCTTGAATGTGCCTATAAATGTTCTAGAATCTTGTAAGATGATCCTAACTCTATAGTTTATATGCTGTAGCATCTTATTATTCTTGCCGATCGTCTGAAAATAATAATTTGTTATTTAAAAAATATATATATCTTTATATTAACAATTTTATATTTATTTAAAAATAAATTATTTAGATATAAATTTATCCAGTCCTCATGCATGCTTATATGCGTGTTCATAGACATATTTATGTTATTTAGATCTCAAGTTGAATGAATACTGACAAACTAATATTATTAACAATAAAACATGTTTTGTGCTTTATAATAAAAACTCTGTTTTTTAAACAAAAAAAGTCCCAAAATTTTGCTCCATTAATGTGTTCTCAACTTTGTCGAAATAAACAGACGTTATTATCTTTGAAAAGACCTGTCATATATGTATATTTTAAATATATACTGTTCATTCATTATCTTCTTTTTTAATATAAAGTATATCTTAATTTTATTTATTATAGAAACTTTTGCTCGGAAAATTAATCCAACATTTTGTTTGGTTAGAAATGCGAGTTTAAGCCTCAAACGCAAAAGAAATTGAAAAGGATCACAAGTCGAGAAAAATTTTAAAGATTATTACGTTATAAAAAATTAATAATGATTATTATTGTCACTTACCATCTTGGCTGATTGTTTTCAACGTAAAGCACAAAAATTAGTTGTGAAAAATCCACACAAAACTTTTACCGCATAACCTCTTCTAACATGAAGAAGATAAACCGCCAAACACGCCACTGTATCCAATTGTACCTGAAGTGTACCCATGGTGTAAATGTGGTATAAATAAGTGCTTTCCATTTGATGACGCAATCAAAATTAGCAGGGGTAGTGGAGGGTCTCTACAGGTTGATTCTTTTTTATTCATTTAAATTTTTTTTATAGCTTGAAACTAATTGTAGTTTGCTTACAATTAGAAGAATTCCAATTTTATTCAAATTGCAAATTTATAAAGTAACGTAGTAACACATTGATTGATTGGCCATATTTTTAGGAAATCCCGTCCTATATTCAAATACCTATATTTATGATATTTTTAAATTTCTACAATATAATTAAAATTAGATATTTTAAAGGTATTAACACAAATATTAATTTCTTACATTACATATCGGTTTTGAATCGTGAAAGCTCTGAGGTTCGATTGTGTATTTTGAAATGAGGTGAAAATTACAAAAGTGAGCAATGATTACTAGGTATTGACCAATTAAATTATGAATATTATAATAAATTTGTTCTGACCTTATTTCAAGATATACAATCGACCCCTTGCTTCTTTGTACATGACAATACAAAGCAGAGTTCTTATTGGATATCGTCGCTGATCTCTCATTATATCCAGTGTGCAATAGGCATTAAGGCTGGTATTCATAGGCTGTGGTCAAAGTCTCGCTACAAATGCTTTGAAGCGTTTGATGAACCAATTAGAAGAAAGAATTTTACAAACTGACTAATTAAAAAACGCTTCAAAATATTTTCAGTTTTAGAGCAATTTCGATTAATTAATTTATAAT